CGAAGAAAGTAAACCCACGTGTACCTAGTTGCATGATCTATGAACAAGGCAAAGTATTTGTAGCCAAGACGAGAAGTGACAGGACTAGCTCCCCATAGATCAGTATGAATCAAGTGAAAAGGCTCAGAAATCACCGTAAGGCTAGAAGGATAGGAAATCCGAGTAGTTTTAGCCTCAATGCAACTGGTACAAGAAAAATCCGACGAACAATGTGCTTTAACATGGGTTCCAAACAACTGTTGCTTAAACATAGTCATAAGTCTGCTAGAATTTGGGTGGCCCAACCTAGCATGCCATAGCCGAAAACTATCAAGAGGAAGACTCGAAAAAACACAAGAATCACTAGACTCAGAAACTGCAGATGATGATGGCGACTGAAGTTGATCAAGGTAGAAGATCAGCCCCTTCTTGCTGCCCCTACCGATCTCCCTCCCTGTCTTCTGATCCTGAACAACACAACCAGACGGTGCAAACGTAACACAGTAACCTTGATCAGTAAGCTGACCAACAGAAACAAGACTGGGAACAAGTTTAGGCACATGGTAAGTAGCGGGCAACTCAATGGACGAATCATGAACGGAACCCATGCCCGAGACATGCAACATCTCGCCATTCGCAACCTGAAGAGACAAGTTTTCTACTGGCGAAATGTGCTGCATAGCGGTAGCTTGCCCAGTCATATGATTAAAGCAAGCAGAATCAAGTATCCAGGCAGGAGACTTACCAGAAACCTGAAGACTGGCAAATGCTGAATTAACAGCCTTGTTGACCAGCTGTTCGAGAGTGGCAAGAGTCACTAGAATCCCTTCAGCACCTGGCGCTGGGTGCGTGGCGTAGGCAGGCCGATTAGCAGCAGCAGTGTTGGAACGAGTGGAAGAGCCACTTCCACGAGCCTCCCCGTCGCGGAAACGTCCCTCCAAGCTTGGGCAATCAGGGATAATGTGCCCGGTTTTCTTGCAATAGACACAGAAGTTCTTTTTCTTACAAAACTTCTTCGTGTGACCCTTTTCCCTGCAATGAAAACACTCCACATCGGAGGAGGTAACCCGACGCTGAAAAGCAGCCCGGTACGCAGCATATGCCTCCCCTGTTTCTCCACCAGCATCCCGATCATCAACCGCCGACCCGGAACGACGTCCAGCAGCAGCGCCTGAAGATCCATGCGGCGTCGGGGCGGGTGCAACACTGAAGACCGCGCGATCGCCAGCTCCGGGGCGGATATCCAGGGCGGCTTGAGTCCGAAGCCACGTTTCCTCCTGGATGAGAGCGCCCAAGACACCATCAATGCGAAGATTTTCTCGGTTCAGAAGAGAAGCCCGGATAGTCTCAAACTCCGGGTTCAATCGCATCAAGAACTGCATCAGCCTGATCTTGTCCCTCTCGGCCTTGACCTCTTGCGTGTCGGCCGTCATCAGAAGACTTGCAATGATCATATCCTGCTCGGTCCACAGGTTGCGAGCAGCGTTGTAATAGGAAGTAACATCCATACTCCCTTGAAACAGCGCCGCAAGTTCGACCTCGACCTCATATTGGCGAGACGCCCCAGCTGTCTTGTACGTATCTGCGAGATACTTCCACATAGCGGTCGCTGTCGGTAGCATACGTAAACCCAAGATAATCGAGGGATCGACCGAGTTAAGAAGAAGCATCCGAACCTTGGCATCAGTGAGCACCCATTGTTTGTGTGCTTCTTCGTCCGTCGCGAGAGGTCGAGCGGCCGTGCCGTCGAGCCAACCGAGAAACCCTTTACCCTCAATCAACGTACAGAACTGAAACTCCCATATCGCATAATTCTTGGAGTTAAGACGTGCAGTAATCTGATCAGACGACATAGGCTCTGATACCATGTAAGATTGTATAAACTCACGTATAGAAACAGTAAAGAACACACAGGTTTACGTGGTTTCCCCGTTTAGTGTGAACGAGACTATTCCACAGCCGAAGCTATACGATACTCTTATTCAGCTTAACTTCAGCATACAGGTTACATACGTATATATATGAGCTAGGTTTCACAACCCTAGCTAGCCTCTCGGCTGACCCCAAACCCGCCAGACCCAGTACATATGTGAGGGGGAATGGGCCGAGCCCATATACATCAACAAAAAGAAGTAAAAAAGCAAAACAAAAGCCTTGCCTTAATTGCTAGACATTGGTAAGAGGTTGAATGTTGTACTATTGCAATTCCTACGACTATGGCCACGGAGCCCTTAATATCGAGATAGCCACCTCGAAACTGTACTATTGCAATTCCTACGACTATGCCCACCGAGGAGAAGACGTTTGTTTTTTAGTTCTCCAAAATCAATGCCTTGCCTTAATTGCTAGACGTTGGTAAGAGGTTGAATGTTGTTAGTAAAAGAAGTAAAAAAACAAAACAAAAGAGACTTACACGCTGCCGGGAGTTGAACCCGTGATCCCCTCTCGGGAATCTCCAAGCTTGACAACCCGGAATTATATTCATGGATTTTAATGCTACAGCGAATTGTTGATACATTTTCCAATTGCACTTATTTAAACAAATCAAAGAAAATTGGCCTGGTGCTAGACCTCGTTGAAATTGTGCCCCATATCTGCATCCGGTTCGTTCCTTTCCAGCGGAGTCTTTTGGGCTTGAGGCTCTTATCTCCTTCGCCACCGCGGGATCATCGAGCTCCATTTTCTCTCACAAAAGCTCTTGCCTTTCATTCTTTTCAAATCCTTCATTTCTACACGGGTTTAGAAAAACGTAGTTGCCTAAGGTACCTCCTCCACCTGCGGTCATTAAGAATTGGCAGTTTATGTGCTATGGACTTTCTGGTTGCAAGTAGGTGGAGGTGGTAAATGGATTGATGGATTGGATTGATGGATTCATGGATCAAATGGATTGGTGGATTCATGGATTGGATCAAATGGATTGGTGGATTATCCATGAATCCAAATGACATCCTCAATCAAGGACTAATATGTAAAATGTGAAAAGTTTATGTACTAATTTGTCATAATGAAAATTTTTAGGTACCAAAACATAATTTACAATGATATTTTTGCATAAAAAATTAAATTTGGGTACCAAAATGGAAGATATAAAAAGTATAAGTACCAAACCGTAGTTTGCCATTTGGATCCATGGATCGATCCATGAATCCACTAATCCAATTGGATTTGGATCAAATGGATTGGATTTAAATGGATTGAATTAGGTGAATTATTTTAATGGGTTGGTGGATTGAATTGAGAATTGTCACCTCTACAAGTAAGTTACTAATATGACAATTGTGTTCTTATGTTTTTTTATATGACAATTGTGTCTCTAAATTTAGTATTCATTAACATTGATTGTTAGCGGTCACTGATCAACGTATTAACCGATGATGTATCACATATTGTGGAATCTTTTACCAAGTCACTCAGAAAATAATAATAATCAATAGAACTTACAAATACAATTGCAGATTTTTTAACAAGAAAAATCAATAAAATTAAAATCAAATTAAAAATCCAACCGACACTTCTACAGTTCTATCCCTAATCTCTCTCTCTCTTCATACTTCCATCTTCTTCTCCTTTCCATTGAAATCCAGAAGAAAAAACTCCATAATTGACGAACAAAATCATACTGTCCAATCCACTAAAGTTCATCCACCATTGCTGAATCCAAACCCAAAATCCTCTCTTTACTCCTGTTGATAATGACCTTCATCGCGACCAATAACGGAGCCAAGATTTCACTAAAGTTGGGTTCAATTTAAAAAAAGTATATATATATATATATATATATATATATATAATAAATATGATTAATATTTAAATCACTCACGATGATTTTTTTTATAATTTTTCGACAGATTTTCATTTGAGAATGGAGAATTCGATATTAAGTTGAGAATTAATAAACTCAGAAAAAGCAATTAAAGACACATGTTTATGTAAAATCTAGAGATAACTACAATTTATTCTCTTTTCAAACCCAAATTATTAGCCAAATTTTTTTGAAATACAAAGTATTAGTCGAACATTAACTCTCTTAAGCTTCATTTATTTCTCTGACAAATCCTTAGTGAGGATCCTCCTTCCTTGGTTAGTTTTTTTTTTATAACATGTAAGACACGTACGCTTGCATTCCACCCAAACAAAGAAATGCAAGTCGTCACAAATGATACAATAACATTTAGAGATTGAATCCGATCAACCATGTGGGCTTGACGAGCAACCCAATAAGCCAAAATATTGTGACTGTGGAGCACAAACTCAACTTTAAGCCACGAGGCTAAGCAAAGAAGCAAAGATCATACTCGCAAAGGTTGCTCCACATTGTCACGTCCATTTGTTCATGGAGTGTTTTGGCTTCAGATTGAGCACTTAACAATCTGCACATATGCAAATAGAAATATTCTCATGGACTATGATCTTTATAGCATTCAAAAGTCCCAACGCTAATGTCTCGGTGAGAATTAGTTAATTTATGGCATAGGCCGTCCATGCCCGGCGATAGCATTTTGTTTATCCGTGAAAGTGGGGTTTGACCTGGAATTAGCTCCTGGCCATGGCCGGCGGGATCATCCGGTGACCGGTAGGCTAACCTCCTCCGATTTGGCTTTGATTTGCTTGCGTAAGAGGCTGAATGTTGTTAGCAAAAGAAAAGGGAAAAAAAAATCCGCTGCCGGGAGTTGAACCCGGGATCCCTTCTAGGAATCGCCAAGCTTGACAGCCCGGAATTGAATTCTGGGGTTATAATGCTACAGCGGATTATTGATGTATATTTGGACGATACTTATTTATATATCTAGTTGGCCTTCGGATGCCACCCATTGCTGGACCTCTTATAAAATGTGGCCCAGATCTGCATTTGGTTCGTTCCTTTCCTGCGGAGTCCTTCCTTTGGGCTTTGGCCTTGCGGCCGCCCTAGTCTTCATGGCCACCACCGGATCCTGGTGTCTCATTTTCTCTTACAAAGCTTTTGCCTTTTGCGGAATCCCATTGAGAATTTTTTTTTTTTTTATAAATGGATGCAGTGCATCCTAACCTTCATTCATAACCAGACGGGACTCAGAGAGCCCTTGAGAATCATACAAGGTCCAATACATCAGCATGGGGTCGCTAGCAGGAACGAAATGAAAACCTAAAGGCATAGAATGGCCATAGTTCGCAAGAAAGTCAGCACACTTATTACCCTCTCTATACACATGAGAGAAAACAACTTCCCAATCACACCTAGCTAAAGCTTGGAGGCGGTCAATGATCGACACATGATGATGGTCCGGGTTCGCGTTGCTGCTGATAAGATGGATGCCACATCGAGAGTCAAGCTCCACCCTCACGCGACGGTATCCCAGATCCCAAGCCAGTTGAAGTCCTTCCACAGCGCCTCTCAACTCAGCTCTGGTGATCGAACAGATCCCCAGGCTAATCGTGTACGCTGCAATGCAGCGCCCTGAATGATCTCGCAACAGGCCCCCCGCAGCAGCAGAGCCTGTGCCATGGTGTACGGAGCCATCAGAGTTGAGAGTAACCCACTCAGGAGGAGGGGGCTTCCAAGAGATCAGCTCCTCCGTTCTAGCGGGCGGACTCGGGTGATGAAGGGCCCGGTCCTTATCCATAGCCGTCCTCACGACATTTATCCAGGCCAGGATGCGCTGTAGGAAAGCTTCAACTGTAGTGACCTTGTTTGAAAAAACACGGTCATTCCTGGTCCGCCAAAGAGACCAGCAGGTAAGGCCAAAAGAGAGGCCCGTGTGCTCTTCCGGGAGGTATTTCGCAATCCATTCCTGCAAGGGTAAACTGAAAAAGGTCTGGTAATCAGAAGGCAGGAGCAGCCGCATCCAAGTTAACCGGGCAAAATGACAGTCCCGCAACACATGCAGGACTGTCTCAGGTGAGTCGCGGCAATGGGTGCAAGCAGCCTGGGTCGTCAGGTGTCTTCGTCCACGTTCCATGTTGGTGAGGATCCTCTCCCGAGCCGCCAGCCACATGAAATGCTGCACTCGAGCTGGTCCGCTCCACTTCCAGATGATCTTCCAATCGAATTCTCGATCCAATTGTTCATAGTTGCAGGCAATCTCGTACGCGGAGCGAACTCGAAATCTCCCATCCTCCTCAGGCCCCCATGTAGCGACGTCGCTCCCAGAATCCGCCATAGGGGGTTGGACTCCCTGAACCTGCAAAACAAACTCCTCAGGAAGGAGGGATCGCAGGAGATTAATATCCCACTCACCTGCTGGTGTAGCGAACTGCGCCACCACATCCGAGGGGTTAACCGGCAGAGCCTCCTCTCGCACATGGTCAAGTAGCCGTTCCCCACTATCAACCCACCTATCCGTCCAGAACGACGTTGATTGACCATCCTTGATACTCATAGCGGTGCCACTCGTCATCACCGGCCATGCCTTTCGTATCCCTCGCCAGAGCGTTGAGGCTCTAGCCGCGGATTTAGCCACCAGCTGGCCCTCCACCACCTTAAAGTACTTCGCCTGCAACACCTACACCCACAACTCCTCTGGGTTTTTCATGAAAAGCCAAGCAAGTTTAGCTAAAAAAGCTAGATTAAGTTCATGAGCCTTCCTGAAACCCAGCCCCCCTTCCTTCTTCGGTCGATAGATAGCTTCCCAGTTAACCAGGTGCATCTTCCTCGTCTCAGCTGATGAACCCAGATGAAACTCCTAATTCTCCTGTCAATCTCATCACAAATGGACACAGGCAAGAGGGTCGTCTGCATAGCGTACGTGGCATAGTGTTAAGCACCGACATGGCCAAGGTCACTCTTCCTGCAAAGGACAAATTTTTGGCTTTCCAACCCGCCAGTTTGTTATCCATGCGAGAGAGAATGTACCGGTAAGTTTCTTTGGTGACCCGCCCATGCAATACAGGGACCCCTAGGTAGCGACCCAGGTCCTGAGTCATGGCGATCCCCACTCTACGAGAGATTTCTGAACACAAAGGGCGAGCCATGTTCTTGGAAAAGAGTATCACCGACTTCTCCTTGCTCACCTGTTGGCCCGAAGCATGGCAAAAACGGTCGAGGCAATCCATGATTACCTCTCCTTGCTTTTCCGTCGCCTCTGCAAACAGAATAAGGTCGTCAGCAAAAAAGAGGTGGGAGAGGGGAGGGGCACCTGGTGCGAGCACAACCGGTTTCCAGCGACCGGTAGCCACCGCCTCACGAATGGTGTGACTAAGCCTCTCCATGCAGAGTGTGAAGAGGTAAGGAGATAGGGGGCAGCCCTGCCGAAGGCCCCGGGTAGGTGTGAATGCCTCTGTACAAACTCCATTCCAAAGAACCTGCATTGTTGGAGACGAAATGCAGCCCATAATAACCTCGATGGACTTGGCCGGAAACCCCGCGAGGGTGAGAGTTTCCTGGACAAAACTCCAACTCACACGATCATAAGCTTTTGCTAGATCAATCTTGAGCACCATGGTTCCTTTCCGACCCTTCTTCTGGTTCATGGAATGGACCACCTCCTGCAGGATGACGATGTTGCTCGAGATCTGTCTACCCGGCACGAAGCTCGTCTGGGTTGGATGCACTAGGTCTCTCATCAGCGGCTTGATGCGATTAACAAGGCACTTTGTGAGGGTCTTGTAGATTACATTGCATAGACCAATGGGACGGAACTGCTGTATGGTTTACGGGCTATCTTTTTTTGGAATAAGAACCAGTAGCGTCTCATTGACCCCCATAATCAAGCGAGGGTCAGCGAACATGGCCATGACAAAAGAGGAAAAGGAGTCACCTACCACCCTCCAGCATTTTTGGTAAAACAAGGGAGGGTAACCATCTTTGCCGGGAGCTTTGAACCCTCCCATGCTCTTAACTGCCGCCCACGTTTCCTCCCGAGAGATAGCTCTCTCCAAACCAACCATACTATCCTGCCCTAGCTCCGGGAAAGCTGCCGGCAAGCTTGGACGGGGCCCCTCCTCTTCCTGGTACAGCATCACATAGAAATCTCTTGCCATTTTACACAGTTCAACTTCCTCAAACACCCACAGACCTTCAGTGTTCCGCAGCCCCCGGATCCTGTTGAAGCTTCTTCTCTTCAGCGTTGAGAGATGGTAGAACCGAGTATTCTTATCCCCATAAACCACCCACTGGGCCCTTGACTTCTGGAACCACATTATATGTTCTTGCCAGAGAGTAGTCTCCAGCTCCTTCCGCACTGCACTTTCCTCCTCCCGGGAGGCCGCCGAGCCCGCTCTTTCATTTGCCGCTTCCAGCACCCTCAATCGACGAGCAAGCTTCCTCTTACGATGGAGTATATGGCCGAACGTCATTTTGTTCCACTCAGTTAGCTCGCCAGTAAGCACCTCAGAAGAGGCCCGGAACGTGTCGGCTTGGTCCCAACTAGTTGAAAGGACACGTTCAAAATCCTCATGCACCAGCCATGCAGCCATGAACCGGAACGGCTTCGGCCCCGAGCTACCCCTCTGCGACTGACCTCCCAAAATAAAAATGGGCCTGTGGTCCGACCCGATCCGTTCTAAATGGCGCGTGATCGATTGAGGGAACCGGGTCAGCCAGAGTTTGTTTCAAATGGCCCTGTCGAGTCTTTGTTGGAGGGTGCCCCTCCGCCATGTGAACCTCGGGCCGGAGAAATTAATATCCATCAGCCCGCTATCATCCAGGCAATTCCTGAACGGGCGAGAGCGAGCCTCCTGGTATGGAACCCCCCCACAGCGCTCCGTCGGTCATGGAGTTAAAATCGCCAATTAGGACCCAGGGAGTGGTAGTTTGAACGGAGAGCCGTCGTATCTCCCCCCACAGCTGTTGGCGAAGGGCTACGTTGGGGCTACCATAAATCGCTGAAACGAACACAGACTCCCTTGCCCCCTGCTTCGTGCATTGCACGTGTACCATTTGTTCCCACTTCGTAATGGAGGTGACCAGGAGATTTTGCTGCTGCCATAAGACCCAAATGCCTCCTGAAAAACCAACAGCATCCATAATTAGGTTGCCATCAAAACCCGTTCTGCGAATTACATTGCGAGCTAAATCGCCGCTAATGCGGGGCTCCACAATAATCACCAAGTCCGGCCTCGTAGAGGCACAGAAGTTCCTCAGATAAACCAAGAACTCATCACTCCCTGCACCCTGGCAGTTCCAAGAAAAAATGTCTAACATAACAATCAACTAAACAAGAAGAGGACACAAATATGTACAAGGGAAAGAAGACTTCCCTGGGAATGGGCTACAACCCAATTAGCAGGAAGGAGGAGCCAGGGGGTGGCCTGCCCTCCCGGCTTTGCCATCTCAGGAGCCTGCAAGGTTGAGCTCCGGGTATCCAGTGTCCCTGTTTGTCTCTGGGCCGAGGATTGTCCATTCCCAACACTCTTCTCCGCCCCACGCTTGGTCCCTTTTTGACCCTTGGTCTGGTTCGAAGCCTTTTGGGCACCCAACGTCGTGGATGAAACCATGCTTCCGTTCTTGGCCACTTTCAGGCTTGTCTCCGTTTTCCTACCACTCCCCAGAGGCGCCTGCTGAATAGGGACATTCACCAGTTCCTGGATAATTCCACTCACCACCTTGTTGGCCGGCTGTGCCATCACTACCGCGGGCATAAAAGTTTTGCTTCTTGGCTGCTCAACCTCAGTCATCTCAAGGGGGCTGGTAGCACCCGGGTGGCTGTGGGATCCACCAACAGGACCCGTTTCCCCTACCTGCAAAGTCACGGGGATGCTTGGAGGCGACTCCCCGCCCCCGCCGTTTTCAGTCTCCATTTGTAAAGTGTCCTCTTCCATCAGGGCAGAGAAACGCGACCCACTAGGCGAGAGCGCCACCTTCAGTGGCTGCAGGGGCCCACTCCCATTCTTGGTTGGGTTCGTCTTTCCTGAGGGTTTCGATTTTGGCCTGACCATCATCCACTCTCCATAAGCTGCGGGCGGAACAGGTGGAGCATCGGGACTCGGTTGAGGCTCCACTGGCCTTTCCAAGTGGTCTTTCCTTAGCGTCGGACATGTTGTTTTCGCATGTCCATAAACACCGCACTCAGTGCAAATATTGTGCAGACCTTCATACTCTACGTAGTAAGTCTTACCCTCGATCTTGTACTGCCCCAGTAGAGGTTTAGTAAGATCCACCTCAACGCTAACACGGCCATACTTCGTACGTGCCCCAGTAGTGGTAGCGCAGTCCACTCGAACCGGACGACCTATTCTTGAAGCAATCCTCTCAACAGCTTCCCGGTTCAGGAACTCTACTGGCAGCTCCGGCAGGCGAGCCTAGACCAGGGTTGTCGCCACCTCCGCGGATTTGGCGTCAAACCCTTTCCGCCATGGCCGCACCGTAATGTAATGGTTGCCAATCATCCATGGCCCTCCCATGGCTGCCTGTTCATAATCCATCTGGTTCCTAAAATGAACCACATAGAAACTATATGATAGGCTAGATATTTGGATGTTTCCCGTTTTGGCCCACAGCGTCTCTAGCCTTTTTGAGATGATCGGGAAGGGGAACGTACGGCCGAGCACTTTGACAACGAGCTGTGACCTCCAAGTTCGACGATACCGTTGTTTTTCCAAGGCCTTGAAGGGGATCGTGGGACACCGCGGGTCATCATCCTCAGGTATCTCATCATCCAGGTCATCCTCCCGCATGGCCTCTGCCACATCCTCCGAGTCTGATTCGGCTACGTACCATTCCTCCTCAGCAAGAACGGTCGAGAAAAGCTTTCTCGCCCCTGTGCCCCATGCCGACGACGGGGCCGTTTCCCCAGAGACACCCTCTTTATTTGTCTCTTGGCTCTCTCCGTCCAAACCCCTCTCCTCCTCCATTGGCACCGTCTCGAAAAGGGGGTTAGCACACATGGCTTTCGCCTTCTTCTTCGGCTGCTGCGCTTCTTTTTCCCTCTTGGTGTTCGGGGACTACGTCGCCAAGGGGGGTCGACGCTGCCCAGATGCTGCATCCAGCGACGGAGCCTTCATGGTGAAGGCTTCCGGCGCCAGGCCGGCCATGGCCTACAACTGCCGCCGCTAGTTAGGGTTACGGGTGTACGGGACCTTTAGCTCCGAGAAAAACGGAGCTATTTTTGTGCATACATCATACTAGTTGTTCATACTGTATCACCAAAAATTGAATTATAGCTTTTGATTTCTGTGCCTCCTCCCATTGAGAAATTTTGGTGATATTGGCTTGTTATACCTACGGATGTCAATTTTGGCATAATTCGTTTTATCAGCCATGTTTAATCTTTTTTGGAACGAGAATGAGTAGTCTCGAACTGATCTGGTTTGACCTGCCACATTCTTGACATGTGCCTAAATAACATGTGATTTACTCAAAGTATTTAGAATTTTTTCTTTTATTAGCTTATAGTTTAGCTCTAGTAAAATTGAAATGGGTGAGAACATCAATTTCCCGAATAATTTAACCACATTCATCATATTATAGTTTGTTTCTTGATTTTTGTAATGTAAAAATAAATATTTCTAATGTTCTTCGTTAATTATATCCTAATATAAGTCGATCTGCCCTGATACCGCATTCCATGATAAATTACTCTGTCTTGACCCGACTTGTTACGGAGCGAATATAAATAAAATAAAGAATATTGCGTACTAGATCTGTGTATCACTCCAACGTTATATGACAGGTTCTGTGCATGTAGACCTGGCAATCGGGCCGGGTTGGGTAATTTTGGGTTGAAGACTTTGGTTACGGGACGGGTCATGTATTGGTTGGCTGATTTCTGGTCAAATATTAACCCAACCCATTCGGTTTCGGGTCGGTTTATAGGTCATTTCGGGTTATGAGCGTTCTAAGAAACAAAATCAAACATGCTTCATATTTTCTTAAAGAACACAAATTTTTACATATGCATAACAATAATTCACCTAACACATGTCAATTAACATATTCTCAAATCCTTCCACGTTAATGAAATGAAATACAAATTGCGCAAATCGTCAAAAAAACAATCACAAGAGTAATACTACTACAAAAAACACATGATATTTGATTATCCTTAAACTCTAAACATGTCATTCAAATCCTTGTGATTTTTTTAAACATCTCACCAATTTATGAGTGATTTTATCATTTTGGGAGTGATATATAAATGGAACGGGTCTAACGGGTCGACCCGCTAACCCGCCCAACCCGACCCAAAAAATCATGGGTTATCGGGTTCGGGTCATTCGAATTTCGGGTTACAAAAATCTCTAGTTTTTGGACGGTTTTGGGTCGAGTTATAATTTGCCACGTCTATGTGCATGGGCATTTTGATTTGATTGCAATTACTTTACTATTGAATATTGATCTATGTTGTTGAATTGCAGGCTTCTAGCTCTAGGGTGAAAGAGAAGCACACATGATTTTTTGTAACCGAGTTTAGCCTATTGATCTATTTATTATGCTAACTCCACAATGTTGAGGAAATTAATTACTTAGTCAAAAAGTAATTAATTTTTTTTGTCCTACAAGTCCCTTGTTTTCTTGTCCTGTAAAAGAATGAATTTAGTTGTCATTAGGAATGAGATTGGAATAATAATCCAAGAGTCATAATTAATTGGAGGTTATTTCTGTCAATTACTTAATTAAAATCTCTAAACTCTAATTATAAAAGTGTCTCTCCGCTGCCTCTATCTCCAACCCCTCTACACACAATAAGCGACCCTCAACCTCCCCTCTCTATCACAAACCGCTCATAGGTCTGGAATGGAGGTGGGAGAAACGATGGCGAAATAAAATAAAATAAAACAAGAAAATAAATTTGTTCCTCTCTCCGCACCACCCATCGTCGACATCTGCCGCCGCTAGCAACAATCTAAATCCTTAGACCATTTCGCCGCCGCCCTAACTCGTACTCCCCCTAGCCCTCCATCTTATTTCCACTGCTCGTCGTCGTAGATCCAACTATCACCAGACAACTGATTCATCTTCCTTGTTTTCCTATTCCTAATAAGAAGACGAGCTGGAGGCGGCAGAGCTGGACCATCTGCAGCAATGCGGGTGGCAGATGGAGGCTTCAGCGGAGTCGGCGATGGGGTTTATGGGTTGAGGAGAACTCGAGGAATAGCTGCCAAATCGCGAATCTGGATTTTTCTGGTCTCCCTCCGTCGTGCAAAACAGGGAGAGCTGAGACCAAGTCGAGGAACCCGACCCGAAGGTGATCCAAGCGGACCCTGAAGTCCGACGACAGAGCAAGGATTGCATCCCTTGGCTTCTTCCCACGCCTCATCTTCTCGGGTCCTCCGCCGCTCTCCTCCTCTCCTCATCTTCTTGGCAGACCCACTCGATTTTCAAGTTGAAGTTGAAGAAGAAGAAGAAGAAGAAGAAGAAGAAGAAGAAGAAGAAGAGGGGGAATCCACTCGAATCAACCGCCTCCGTCAAAACCCGAATCGGGGGAAGAGTGCGGGAGATGCAGACATAGAATCGGGGGGCAAATGTAGAATTGAGGTCGACGACAACGATGCAGGTTGGACCGGTGCTCTGCCTCGTGTCCTGCGATTTGCTCAGGTAATTGGTGGGGAAAAAGGTTTTGGGTTTCGGGTTGCTGGGATGAAGATGATGTCGATGGCGACGGCGATGACGATTTAGGGTTGTTGGGTAATTGGTGGGGAATAAGGTTGGCGGTGGCGGGTTGTTGGGATAAAGATGATGTTGATGGCGGCGATTTAGGGTTGTTGGGTAGTGGTGGGGAATAGGGGTAGAGGAGTACCAATAGCGTTATTCTGCTAACCGTGTTAGTGGTTAGCATATACTAACACGGTGGGATGAGGGGCCACGTTGCCGAGCCACCATCAGAGGGTTCTGGGTCGCCGGCGCTGTTCTGTGGAGGGGGGGGAGAGTTTTTGGCCAAGCCGAGCCACTTTTGGGAAAAGTGGGGACAGATAATTAAAAAAACCCAAAATTCAAACCCAAAACCCAACAAACCCGCTCAGCCATTCTCTCTCCCCTCTCTCCAACTTTCGAACCCTCTCCCTCTTCTTCTCCCGAAAACCGCAGAACAGCGACGAGAGAGGCGACGCCGACGAGGAAAGCGACGGCGACGACGGCTGCGAGGTCGGCGACCGCTTGGTGGATCTCCCGCCGCCGACGACGTTGACGCTGGACCGACCGACGAGGAAGAAGCCGCCGCCGACGAAGAAGAAAGAAGAAGAGGGAGCCGACTTCGCCGCCGAAGAAGGCCGCCGCCGTCGCCGCCATGGGAGGTAGAAGAAGACGCTGAGGTAGTTCTACTTCTCTCTTTATTGTTCATTTTGTTTGTGGATTTGAAAATTTATGTTAGGGTTTCGGTTTCATGGATTTTTTTTGTGGAAATCTGGGTTTTGTTTATGGATTTGATAATTTATGGTTCATGCAATTCGATTTAGGGTGTTTAGGGTTTTGATTCTAGATTTCCAGATATTGTGTTCGTGGGATTCGAATTTGGGGGTTTAAGGTTTCGTTTTGGGGGTTTAGGGATTCGTTTTTCGATTTGTAGATTTAGGGTTTCATGGATTCGAATATGGGTGTTTAGGGTTTTGTTTGCAGATTACCAGATTCTGGGTCTGTGGGATTCGAATTTTGGGGTTTAGGGTTTCATTTATCGATTTGTAGATTTTGGGGGTTTGTTGGATACGATTTTGGGGAATGTAGGTATTGTTTGTTGATTCCTTGATTAAATGTTACATGGATATTAGTTTTGTCACTTCCGATACTTATTGTGATCATTTTATATATTGTTTCATTATGTTTTCTCGAATTCCATTTTGGGGGTTTGTTGGATACGATTTTGTTGAATCTGGGTATCATTTGTCGATTCGTTGGTTAAATGTTATATGGATATCAGTTTTGTCAATTATGATACTTATTATGGGCATTTTTATATTGTTTCAGTGAATGGGGAGACCGAAAAAGAACTCAAAGCCCAACAATGAGGGAGAAGGATCATCAAAGCAGCCACCGGATGTACAACAACAAGAGGTTTCATTTCTTACTCCGTTTCTCGATCGGTTATGTTGGCTAAAAATTACTAGTCGGATGCATTTTAATATTTTCATTGACTGATAGTTTTCTTAATATCTAACTATGTTTCAGGAACAACCCGTGAGGAAGAAATCCAAAACTGTTCCACCAAAATCTGCAGCGAAATCTCGTGAAGCAGCTGGATCATCACAGCAGCCGCCGGCTGAACAACCACCAAAGGTTTGATTTCTCACTTCGTTTCTCGATTAGTTATATTGGCTAAAAAAAATAAACTGATGTGTTTGATGTGTGTATATCAGTTCTGTTAATGTGGATACTTAAATGTTCGATTTAGTTTTTTTACTGGGTATTATGGATATTTTTTCATGGATATCAATTATTTCCGTTTGGATACACTTTTGCTTTACTACGATAATAATTGTATGTATTGGCAAAAAAAAATAAACTGACGTGTTTGATGTGTGGATATCAGTTCTGTTAATGTGGATACTTAACTGCTCGTTTTAGTTTTTTTTTTCTGGGTATTATGGATATTTTTTCATGGATATCAGTTATCTCCGTTTGGATACACTTATGCTTTACTGCGATAATAATTGTATGTATTGGCAAAAAAAATAAACTGATGTGTCTGATGTGTGGATATCACTTCTGTTAATATGGATACCTATCTGTTCGTTTTAGTTTTTTTTTCCTGGGTATTATGGATATTTTTTCATGGATATCAGTTATCTTCGTTTGGATACACTTTTGATTTATTACGATAATAATTGTATGTATTTGCAAAAAAAATAAACTGATGTGTCTGATGTGTGGATATCAGTTCGGTTAATGTGGATACCTATCTGTTCGTTTTAGTTATTTTTCTGGATATTATGGATATTTTTTTCATGGATATCAGTTATTTCCGTTTGGATACACTTTTGCTTTACTACGATAATTGTATTGTATATAAGTGTGCGTTTTAGTTATTTGTCCAATGATTATGGATATTTTGCTTAATATATAACTGTGTTTCAGGAACAACCCGGGATGAAGAGAACGAAAATGGTTGCATCGAGATCTCGTGAAGGAGAAAAATCAAGGCAGCCGCCGCCTGCTATTCCAGAAGTTGAGGAGGAAGATGAGGAAGAAGATGATGAGGGAGAGGGTCCCTGCGGCTCATTTTCAGATTTCGTGGGTCCACCTATTCCCTCTTCAAAATTATAAAGATCACCCCGGAGAATGCTGAGCTATCGTCGATGGAATGGAGCAAGGCAGTTTGTGAATTTCATTTGGATTTGCATGTGTGATGTAGTACGAACTCATCCTAGTAATTAGTAATTAAGCAATGGTTTCAACTTTCACGGGGAACTTGGATTTGTATGTGTGACCAAGAACGATAAAACAGTACCGAAAAGTTAGTGGTAGAGTATTTTGTGTTGAATCCGTGGTGTACCTGTCATTTCAGTTGTTTCACTACGGGGAAAACAATCTGAAACCATGCTGCTCAGATTCAATTAAATATCCAGACAACCCAGACAAATACCCAGAAACCCAGAAAAATATCCAGAAAACCCAGACAAATATCCAGATAACCCAGACAAATTATTTAAAATAACTATCAGTTCCTTAGTAAAAAGTATTAAAATCTTTTCAAAAAATATCCACAACACACAAACAAATATCTACTATTTGTACCCTAACCCTAAACCCTAAACTTTAAACTCTATCACCCTAATCACTAAACTATAAAAAAATAAAGCTATTATTGTTTTCCCAAGCTGATAATATTCAAAGGTTCCAGAAAAATATCCAAACACATGAACTAAGGGAATATTTCCTCGGGTTCAAATAAATATCCACACAACCCGGAAAAAAATCAAAATATATTGAATAAATATCAGTATGTCAGAAACAAGTATTAGCACTAGGAAACACAAGTATCCACAACACACAAACTAATATCTAATATTTGTACCCTAACCCTAAACCCTAAACTTTAAACTCTATCACCCTAATCAATAAAACACTAAAAAAATAAAACTACTATTCTTTTCCCAAGCTGAGAATATTCAAAGGTTCCACACAAATATCCAAACACATGAACTAATGGAATATTTCATCAGGTTCAAATAAATATCCACACAACCCGGGAAAAAATCAAAATATTTTTAATAAATATCAGTATGTCAGAAACAAGTATTACAACTATGAAAGACAAGTATCCACAACACACAAACTAATATCTACTATTTGTACCCTAAACCCTAAACTTTAAACTCTATCACCCTAATCACTAAACACTAAAAAAATAAAACTATTATTGTTTTCCCAAGCTGAGAATATTCAAAGGTTTCACACAAATATCCAAAACATGAACTAAGGAAATATTTCATCAGGTTCAAATAAATATCCACACAACCCGGAAAAAAATCAAAATATTATGAATAAATATCTGTATATCAGAAACAAGTATTACAACTAGCCAAAACAAGTATCCACAACACACAAACTAATATCTTATTTGTACCCTAACCCTAAACCTAAACCCTAAACTTTAAGCTCTATCACCCTAATCACTAAACACTAAAAAAATAAAACTATTATTGTTTTCCCAAGCTGAGAATATTCAAAGGTTCCACAAAAATATCCAAACACATGAACTAAGGAAATATTTCATCCGGTTCAAATAAATATCCACACAACTCGGAAAAAATTCAAAATATTTTGAATAAATATCTGTATGTCATAAACAAGTATTACAACTAGAAAAACAAGTATCCACCACACACAAAGTAATATCTACTATTTGTACCCTAACTCTAAACCGTAAACCCTAAATCCTAAACTTTAAACTCTATCACCCTAATCAATAAAACACTAAAAAAATAAAACTATTAATGTTTTCACAAGCTAAGAATATTCAAAGGTTCCACAAAAATATCCAAACACATGAACTAAGGGAATGTTTCCTCAGGTTCAAATAAATATCCGCACAACCCGGATAAAATCTTAAACCCTAAAGAGAACCCAAACCCTTATGTTGAAACATTAACCCTAACCTCTATACCGTAAACCGTAAACCATAAACCAAACATAAACAATCAACCCTAAAAAATAAACTATAAACAATAAAAACTAATATTATTTAATGGGCCTTCGGCCCATGGGCCCTCGGCGGGCATCCCTAACTAAGATTGCAAGCCTTACGTGTTAGGACTTGATAGTGTGTTTAATTTGATGTAAGACACAATATTCCAATCTTTCACAAATTGAAAACCAGAAGTCTAAACCCAAAAACTAATTCTCTAAATTGGTGTAATCAGTTTATGGTGGTTGGGTGATTTTGGGCCGCCGTTAAACATTAGTCTAATGATGGATATTGTTTTGCGAAGGAATAATACGGCCCAAAATTTCAACAATGATACAAAGCAATATCAACATAACATAAATTAATATCGACTGAGAACAAATAAATATCCACACAAACAACACATACATAATACTAACATGGGCCCATCAAATTTGGTTCTCTTTCCACTCCTATCCATTCTCCCGCCCAAAACTCAAGCCGGGCCCACCAGCCCACCACGCCACTTGCAGCCATTCTCCGCCGCCGCCACATGCTGGACCGGCTTCTACACGTTGGCCCACCTACAACTCACTTAAGTGAGCCACTACCAAGCCGCCTCTCCCCTCCATTGGATCAAATACCCGCCGACGTGGCCCTTCATCCTGCCCTGTTAGTATATGCTAACACTTTGAGCAGTTAGCAGAATAACTTCTGCGTTTATCAAGAATACCAAATTCTACTCCCCTTCGCGGCAGCCGCCATCTTCGCAACCGCCTTCCGTCGCGTCTTTTGCCGGATAGTGTCTACTTGAGGTATGGCCTGTTGCGTTGGTTCTTGATTCGGCTTTTGGTTGCAGTTTCTTATGGAATTTCGAAGTTTTTTTTATTGAGAATTCACTGTGTTGGTATACGATTGGTAGTTTAAAAACAATGTGATTGTTCTTTAATCATTTTATTGAGAAGTCACTGTGATGGTATACAATTAGTAGTTAACAATGAGTTCTTAAAATGTTGTATAAAACTCTATGATGATGATTGTGGTAACCAAGTACCAGAAACCAGTATGTAGTAACCGAATATGTTTTCATTTTCAGAATTTAGTTTTAGAATTCTCAACTAAACTAGTTTTGATACTATCAACTCGTTCTTAATCTTTTTCCATTTTGTTCTCAGTACAGAGAATACCTACTAAGATGAGTTGGGCTGATCGGCTTCGTTCTGATGGAAAATCATATGGTCTAACCTTGGATGCTCTAGTTGGTTGTTCAGAAAAAATCCCAGATAAGGATGGAGTCCTGTGCTATAAGGCAAAGTTAGGAAACAATGATGTTAGTGTCCGGTATGTGCCAAATAATAACCCAGAGATAATGAAAAGGGAAATGATTGGTTTCAAGAGAGCGAGACCAGTCGATTACGAAAGAAACTTCCAGCGAACACTTCAAGGATTATATATGTTTGAAGAAGCAACGGGTTGTCATTTCATTTATGATCATTATGAGTTCACGTTGGAAAGCTATCTCTCTAAAATTATACAAAAACCTCATTGGGAGGCAAATTGGCTCCGAATGATTAGGTAATTGTCATGTTTTATGTCCCTTTTTTTTAATAATTATCATGCTATCATAGTATTCTCATTTTATTGTTTTCATTCTTTTCAATGTGCAGAGCAACCTTTTGTGCTTTGTGGGAACTTCACTATCGCAATGAGTCGCACGGAAATCTCAGATCTGAAATAAAAATTGTGGTTGTTGATAGCTCAATTTTTAAAATCGAACTTGCTGCATTAGGACCTGCTTCAATGAACAGATCAGCGGAGTGTGTGAGTTTAGCGAACTTACTTGACAATTATACAACGAGACTGCGGCCCCCATATTATCAAGATCAATGGTTTACCTCGATCATGTCCACTTTAAGGTTAGTTCTCCTCATTCGAAATATGCATTTCATATTCGACTTAAATGGTATAGCTCTCCCAATTTTCATATTTTATTGGTATGCTAGGTATTTTCCTCCTGTTTTGGCTACTAAATTAGCAACAACAGAAAAATTAGAGGTCAGAGTTAGACCATCACCTATGCCTTCCGTTTCCAAATTCCTAATCTTTTCGACTACCCGTCTTCAATCTTCTTTTCCTCCTTACTCTGCCCCTTCATTGTCTCCCTTCTCTGGAAACATATTGCTTGCTGCCTTGTATTCTTATATAATAGGTAGAACGGTACTTAATCAGTGTGTTTGATGAATGCTGGTCGTTTTAGATGAATTTAATTAACCGGTCGTCGCCTAGAGAAAATGCTAACATCACTTCTCTGCCAAGTTCTTTTACTTCTCTGTCAGAATGTAAATTAACTGGCTGGATATCTCTACTGCTTGCTGCTTCTACATAATTTTGACTTTTAGAATTGAATTCTAATTCTGTCATGCATCGATGTAGTCACTGTTGCTTGATGTTTCTACAAAATTTCAACTTTGAGAAGCTTGTTAGTTCATTTAAATGGTGGTTGAATGGCCCACAGAATTCTTAAAAGCACTTGCCAGCTGATTGGTAAAGGCAACATTGAATTTGACATTTAAGATACTTGGTTTAGTTTATTCAACCGCGTTACTTATTTTAGTTTCTCTTGCACAACACTACTTACTTATTCTTAGTTTCTCTTGATGGTAAAATGTTGGATTAATATGTATTATGGATTTGGTTTCAAGTGTGTGATGTAGTGACAATGCAATGCAATGCAATGCTTGTTTATATTATTATGTACATGTGGTTTTATCTTTATGGAACAATTTTTAATTGTAAATTTTCAGGTTACCCAAATTGCGTAACTTGCACAACTCCTTGATGCTCCTCGAAGCTCAACAAAAAATTGAATACTTAAGCGAGGCGGGTAGAAGGGTAAAACAAATTAAACCTCGTTTTCTTAACGACATGTTTGCTGATGTTACTGGAGCAGATACATGGATTGATAATGTGACAAACGATAGGGGGTTGTTCCATATGGTATTGTATTTTGAGAAAGATCCAGCGGAGACATATATTAGTTTTCAAAGTCGTTGTTTGTCGAACTCGAAGAATGCGATGGGGTTTCTTAAGTTTTGTAGGG